TAATGATTGTGCTGGAAAAGATGTGCGTAGAAAAAATTTAAGAATCAATTTTCCAAGAAATGATCCTATAATCTTACATATAATTGATGGTGGACCTAAAAAACATAAAAAAATTTTAAATTAATATTAAATATATAAATTATAATCAATTTTTTTTTTGTAAAGAAAATTTTTTTGCCTTGATCTACAGGTTTTATAGCAGGACCAAGAAAAATTAAAGCAAAAGCAATATGTGGATATTTTATTGAGAGATAGCAGCTAATTGCACTACCAGCAGATGATCCAACAAATATAATCTTTTTATTTGCATATCCTAAACATGATAAAAACCTCAATACAAATTCACATGAAGCTTCTTGTGTATAAGGATTTTTGCCTTCCTCCCATTGTGTTGGCCTTTCGGTGAAACCCCAAGTTACCCTATCGTAAGCTATTACATGACAACCTGTAGCATTAGCAAGTGGTTGCATGAGATGTCTCCATGTGTATACGCTTCCGAAAATTTGATGAAGACATAAAATAACAGGTTTATCTGGATTTATGTTGTTGTTGTTATTAGCATGTTGTAGATTTTGTTTTAGTTCTTCTTGTTGAGGAATTGATATTTTATAAAATGTTTGAATATCGCCAACGATCACAAAACGTCCTTCTGGATCTACCGATGCTGTTGATTCAAGAAAAACTCTTTGAGCAGAAGAGAGTGACATATTTAATGAATTTTCAAAAAATTGAAAAAATCATTTGGAGTGAGTGGTATTTATTCTTTCTATTTTTTTCCTACTTATTCATTTGTTTGCATAATTTTTTTCTTATGTAATAGCTAATTGTTTTTTTATTTATATTACTTACAGTCGGAGATGTTTCCAAATTAATTTTAGGGAATCAAAAAAAAAATCCAAATATTCATTAATTAATAGCCACATGATTATCCTTTCGTTGTAAAAATGTCGCAAATAGAAATTTGGCAAGGACCATGCGCAATCTTTCAAAGTCGTGTACAGTAAAACCTTGTTTCGACGCATCTTGTTCAACGAATTTTCGAAACCATAAAATTTCGTTGAAACGCGCGATTAGTTAAACAATTTTGAATGGAATTTTCTTGTAAGGCTATATTATATTATATGTAATATTTGATTATTATATAAATTTAATTAGAGGATTAAGTAATTTTAAAAACTCCACTTAAACAATAATAATTAAAAAATTCTTTTTGTGACATGTTGTTACAGTATTATGTCATCATTAGTAATAGTAAAATTCGACGCTTGTTTGTTACACGTAATATAGTTTCTTCAAAGCTCTGCTTTTAAAAAGCATTTTAAATTTGCATTATGCAATTGGAATTTTGTATTTGCAAATTTGATACTAAATTTTGGAGCAAATTTTTCCTGTGGCCCCGCAAACTATATGCGTAGATAGGTTAAATACAAAAATCGCGGTTTGACCCACACTGTGATTGGCTTATTGGAGACAATCATTCCAAATTTGGTAATTTTTCACTGACATTGCATTTCTATAGTGGTTATATCCGTTGATTATCCGGGTGTTTGAGTACTTGGTCAATCAATAAAGCTCAACATCCGGATAATCGGTCAGTCAATAAAACCCAACACTCGGATAATCAGTCATTCACCGAATATCCGTTGAATAACCGCTGAATATCCACTGAATATCCATTGAATATGCATATTATTTTTTTTTTAAGAAATACAAATAACAACAGACCAATTTTATTCGTTTAGCTGTCATTGTGTGTTTCCAGCTTCACTAAATACAGTCAAACCTTGTCGCAGCAGACGAATAAAGATTTATTTAAAACCCGTTGTGGCAAGATTTACTGATCTTGCCACAATGGATTTTTATGTTTTTATAATTAATGTGAATGTGAAACAAAAATTTAAAAATCCGTTATAATTATAGTCCGTTGTGACAAGGTCGCTCATTTGGAGTAGAAGTTACTGCAATGCATAAATATTCTTTAAATAATAATGACACAGTTAGTATTCATATTACTTGATATATTATTATAATAGAAAGAATGTTGGTGATAGTGCAATAGTGGATAAAATAGTATTAACATGTTAATGTATTATTTCAATTACGCGGATAAAATTTTTATTTTTTATTATCATTACTATATTCTGTACCGCCGATTATTCACCAATTAACCGGTGAAAATTTTCAACACCGATTAATTAATCAATGAAAAATTTTCAACACCCGATTAACCGGATAATCGGTGAATTAATCGATGAATATCATTCAGCGGATACAACCACTACAGTGAACAAATATTAATAATAATAATTAATATTAATAATTAATATTATTATTGTTGTTGTTGTTGTTGTTGCTCTAGAACTGGCGATTTTGATTTCTAGCATCACATACTGATACACCACATTAATTTGTCGTGAAATTGAAATCGTAATCTATAAAGTTTGGGGTGGGGTGTTTAGATATGAAATTTTGATTGGCTAATTTGAATTCACAAACTTTCATTTTCACGCACAACATCGTCATGTATTTAATAACGTTTTTTTGCATATATTATTGTTTACTTGGAAGAGTATGCATATGGAGCATGCTGCAACAAAACCAGACAAAGTGAACATTGGTATTACCAAAAATTTCAGGAATCAAAATTTAGTTATTATCAGTCATCCGTCATTTCACGGGATCGACATGTCTACTGCTGTAGCTATGTAATTTTTTCGTGAAACATTT